CCTATCTGCTCCTTTATCCATCTTCCATCCACCTCTCCCTTTCTCTCCATTTATTTTAGAATCCCCTTCCCCTCCCCCATTTCTGAAGAAGGGTCCAGACCCGAAACGTCAGCTTTCCTGCTCCTCTGATGCTGCCTGGCCTGCTGTGTTCATCCAGCTCTACACCTTGTTATCTTGTTTCTCTGCAGCTGTTTTCCGTACTAGCTGTTTGTTACACTGTATGAGAGAGAGAGTTTCAATCCGAGAATTGGGCTTCACCTTGGACTGGGATTGCAAACAGTGCCAGGAACAACGTCAGCCTCCACACCAGCCGTCAATCGAGCGGTCTCCGATGGGCAGAAGGGCGTGAGGCATATTGTTTCTTTCCTCTCTTTTTCGTTCTTTTTACTTACTTAATAGGTGTTCCATTTTTCATCTTCTATTATTTCTCAATAAATGTTGGTATTTAAGCAAATTGCTGTTGTTGAGTCTTAGCTACATTTAACCAAATCCGAATAGAACCACTTGGATACAATCTGCAATCCAAGACAACTGTCCAATACAGCTCAGAAAGGAGAATGCAGTGAAACTTGACTTAAATGGCACCAGGTATGATGGACTTTGGTTATACAGAAAAGCTGAAAAAGCCAAGATGGTAATCTTAGTTTCACAGAATCCCTAATGTGTGGAAGCAGGCCATTCGACCCATTGAGTCCACACCAACCCTCCAAGGGCTAACCATTGAGCCACCGTGCTGCCCCAGTTTACTGAGGATAGTCTTGTTACATAAATTAAACCTTTTCTCTCCATTATCACTTGTGAGGGAAGGTCACAGAGACTAGATTAGTACTCCCTTGAGTACAGAAGAATAAGGGTGATCTAATTGTTTTGTAAATGATCAAAGGATTGAATGGGTAGGCAGAGAAAGAATCCAGAGCAAGGGGGATAACCCAAGGAAAAACTTTATCACATAAAGGTTGAAGCTGGAGGACAATTGGAAATCATAATATGAAGTTTGATAGATTTTTGTTAGGCAAGGAACTTGAGGGTTATAGAACTGTGGCACTGTAGTACAGAACACCTATGATTGAAATGAATGAAGTGATGGGCTTGAGGACTGAATAAATCTCCTCTCGTTCCTTTACTGAATCAGAGTTAATTAAGAGACATGTTCTAAATTGTGAAGCATTTTGATAGATTAGATAAGAAGTAACTGGTTCCTCACTGTGATCTCGAACTCATCCTCCGAAAGGGCGATGGATTCAACAGTAACTTTCAAAAAGGAATTGGGATAATATTGATTTTTTTTTTGTTAAAAACCTTATGACTGCCACACTTGACAGCAAAAACATGTGACATCGCATCTATCATGTGATACTGCATACTGTCTCATTACCATATCACACAATGAGACTTAACTCCCTTTACATCTAGGCTCTCTAATATGGCTGGTTAAAGAACTTACCTTTCTTGTTTTGACTGAGGTGTACAGAACAGTCAGGTTAATATCTCGATCTCCAAACTCATCCAGGTGTATTGGTCCCAAGGCTCCTGTAATCAAACCAGGTGCGATTTAATCCATTTCCTAGGTCACAATTTTCTCTAGCTACTCAGAAACTGCAGATGCTGGAGTCAGAATCAACACAGTATGGAGCTGGAGGAACACAGCAGATCAGGCAGCATCGGAGGAGCAGGAAAGTTGATGTTTTGGGTTGGGACCCTTCAGAACTGGGGAGGGGTGAGGGAGCTGGGAAATAGAGGGAGGAGGGGTGGGGTTGCGGGAAGGTAGGTGGGATGGTGATAGGTGGATACAGGTACGGAGTAGTGGGGATTGGTCTGTGGGAAGGGTGGGGCGGATAGATGGGGAAGAAGATGGACAGACTGTGTCAGGTCAAGGAGGCGGGGTGAGAGGGAGAGTTGGATATGGGATGAGGCCGTGGGAGGGGAGATTTTAAAACTGGTGAATTCTACGTTCAGGCCATCAAGCTGTAGGCTCCCGAGGTGGAATATGAGGTGTTGCTCCTTTAGTTTGTGTGTGGCAGCACTGTGGACCTGGAGGAGACCCAGGATGGACATGTCATCGAGGGAGTGGGAGGGGGAGTTAAAATGGTTCGCGACCGGAAGGTGTTGTTGATTATAGTGTACAGAGCACAGATGCTCCACGAATTGGACCCCGAGTCCACGCTTGGTCTCATTGATGTAGAGGACCCCACATCGGGAGCAATGGATACAGTAGACCAGGTTGGAGGATGTACAGGTGAACCCCTCTTGGAAATGAAAAGTAAGTTCACTCCTTACTTTCTGTTTAATTTTTCTTATTGTTCCTTATCCATCTCGTGTTCCCTATTCTCAAACACTCCTCTCCTGCTTTCTCTTCCTTGAGCTATTTGCTGTTTCTCAAAAATGACTTCCCCTCCTACACTTGTAATTCTTTCTGCCTTGATTCACCTCAACTCCTTCTGACCATTCTTCTTATACTTTTAACTGCAAAATCTCTATTTGCTTTTCTGTTATTCCCGCCTTTCTTCCAGCCAATGCCTTTTTTTAAGCCGGTAGAACAAGTTTGTTAATGGGAAGGAGATATTTACCTTGGAAGGTGATATTTCGAAAGTTTTCGCTGAAGTCAAATGGTTTCGGGGACTGATTTTTCATCAGAAAATTTTCAAGTACAGTACTGAAGAGCAGAACAGCATCATAATAACCAAGCATATAGTCGTTGTACATCTGAAATACATATAAGTTCAGATTTGAACTTAATAGCTCATAGGATAACCTAATGATTTCTGGATCTTTAACAGGTTATATTCCGATGATTAACACCAAAGAGAACATTACAACAGGGAATGCAGTATATCAGACGTGTTCCAAAAAAAAGCCTTACCTACTTCACCTACTGTCATAATATCTTCCCACAGCCCATGTGTATTTCTTTCAACAAGGACTCTACAACATAATTAATCTCCAACAATGGCCCATATATACTCTATTCTTTAATGAATCCTACATGATTCACCCTTTATTGATAGGTTAGCTGCTGAGACTATGTTAATTCATGTAAACCAATTAGGTATCTGATGTATGTATTTTTCAAAAGCATCAGTACAGAGGTCCATCAGTTTTCCGAAATGCACTTTTTTCCCAACTAATTATTATCTAAAAATGCAGTGATTCTCCTCTCTTCACTAGATTCTTTTAAAATACATGGACAAAATCCATTCAGACTAGTGGTTTTGTCCTCTTCACATTTGATTTTTCTTAACATTTTCCTCTTTTTATTTCAAATATAGTCATCCTATTTTTAAATTCATCATCAACTATCATGTGCAATGCCCTGTTCAATGACAAACTCTGAACAGAAGTAATTCATTAATATTTCTACCATTTCTCTATTACTGTATTGTTGCCTCTGTTATTATCAGGTCAATCAGTGTAATTATTAAATATTCACATCATGACATTACTTAAAAATTATTTGTTATTTTGTTTCATGTTCCTTGACAATTTAGTTTCATAATTTTTCTTTTTCTCCTTTGTTTTTACCTCTTTTTAAATCTCTTCATATTCCTCCCATGCATGCTATCCCCATTGCTCATGTCCATAATTCTCTTCACACAGGCTCCCATGTTGTTATCTATCTCCAGGGACACATTATTGTTTAGCTTGTTGTTTATACCTTTTTCCTTGATTCTGTTGAATGCAATGTTAATTATTTCCTATTGCTGCTCAGTATAATTGCTTGCTAATATTTTTGACCACTTTATTTTCCAAAGTTCTATTCTGATTCCGCCAGATTTGATTTTTGGTAATCTATTATGCTGGTCTTGACCATACAGACATCCTTCTCAATTAGTATCTTAAAGTATGTAAATTTATGATCACTATTTCACAGATGTTATCTTACTTATATAGAATCATACAATGGATGCAGCATACAAGGAGGTAATTTGGCATATCATGTCCACATCAGCTATCTGCAAGAATTACACAGTTAGTCTCGCTTAATCATCTTTTCCTTGTTACCTGCAATTATTTTCTCACCAAATAATGATCCATTCCCTTTTGAAAACCACAATTTGTCTGCACCATTCTCTGTAATAGTGCATTCTGGATTCTAATCAGCTGTTACATAAAATAGTTACTCCTCATGTCTCTGTTAGTTCTGTTGTCAATCACATTAAATTGATGTCGTCTGATTCTCAACCCTTTTGTGAATGGCACAGTTTCTATCCACTCCTTCTAGACCTTTCATGATTAAATACCTCTATTAAATCTCCTCCTGTCACTTCTCGAAGGAGAATAAATCCAACGTCTCCAAGTAACTGAAGACGCTATTGCTGGAATATTTCCTGAAAGTATTTTCTGCACCCTTGCTCATCATTCCTAGAGTCTGGTGTCCAGAATTGGACACAATACTCCAGTTGATGCCAAACCAGCATTTTATAATGGTGATCAGTACTTCCTTATCTTTGTACCCTATATCTTGATGTTTAAATTCCAAGATGGCAAATATCTTTGGAACCACTTTCTCAGCCTCCCACCTCCAATGTTACACCCCTGGGTCTCTCTGTTCCATGGACCCCTTTTAAAAATGTTATCCTTTATTTTATATTGCCTTTTCCTATTATTCCTACCAAAACGTACCACTTTGCAGATCACTGCATGAAATTCCTTCTGCCACCCTATCCACTCATTCCATCAGGCTGCCTGTGTTCTCTTGAAGTATATTACTGCTCTGTTACAATTTACAATATTTCTACATTTTGTGTCATGTTCAAATTTTGAACATGTGCCCAGTTAACTGAGACTAGATTTATATCAAAAAAAGCAGCAGCTATTGACACTGAAAAAATGAAATAAACCGATGCAGATAGAGTGAAATGGCAGTTTCTGAATGTCTCCCTGAAATGTTCTAGGCCGTTCTTTTATCCTCAGTCACCGCCTTTTCCTTCTATCTTCTCCATCTCATTCCCCGTTACCAGATCTAGTAGCAAATCCTTTTTAACATACTGAGATGAATTTTATGAGAATATTTATTTCTTGCTGGGGAGTGCAGCCTCTGAGGAGCAAATGGGAACACCCTAAAGATGTAACCCATTTTGTGCTTATCTTTACCTGGTGCACAGATCCTGCTGGTCTAGGCACCACCTTTCTGCCTTCCCCAGCACCATGGATTTCAGCAGTGGAGGTGGAATAATGACATCAAGCAGTCATTAACAGGCAATTTAAAGACCTCAATAGGCTACAGGACTGTCCTGTGCACTAGCTGTCTCTATCCTTTGTAATTTGGGGACAGGTCAAGATTGGACAGGAAATGGTTAGGTTGACCAATCACTTTTTATTAATTGAGCCACTGCAAAATGTTGGCCCTTTCACAATTGTAAAATGAACTTTACTTATAAGTATTAGGTTGCCATCCTTACAAACCAAGGAAAAATGCACTATTTTATTTTCTTGCTACTGTGACCAGATGCCTTGTGTCAATGTAAGCAGTCTATTTCATTTATTTATTCCGTATATACAATAAGATTATTAATAATCCTTAAGTTTGCACTATGGAGGCTTCAGCTAGGTTTCCACATTTGAAATCTGGGATGCTCGTGCATTGTATCACAGGTGCTTATTGTAATTCACTCCCTGTTGTATTTTCTGCAAATGTGCTTTAATGTAGCATAACATCAAACTATTTGTAGACCATTTTAGTTAGACAGGAAATTACATCGAGAATAAAGAATATCTGTGAGGGAGTTACAAGACCATAACCCAATAAAGAGATCTGATAAACATCTCGAACAGTATCTGAATACTTAACTTTGGATTTAACTTTAACTTCTACCTGTCCTCCCACACTCAAATACATTGGCAGGAGAAGGGCAAAAATTCATCCCATTGCATTTGAAAGGGATCTTTTTCAATTGTAGAGATTCTATAATTTCCTTATTCCCTTTACAGCTCCCCTGCTCAATTAATAACAGAGTAGCTGAAATCCCCCACGATCACTGTCCTATGTGTTTTACTACTTTCCCAGTGAGCCTTTCAGAAATAAACATGGGCAATAAACAACCTTTGATCGGACCAGCAACGGGTAGCTAGGGAAGTAATTACCAGCAGTTTTGAGACTCTTTCTGCCAAGACATGGCATTAATACCAGTACAGATGAAGTCTATCACCTCAGTACACCACCCTCCTGCGCAAGCACTAGTGCCAGAGTTCCATGTAAAGGAACTCCACTGTCCACACCAGTTCTTTAAAAGTGCTAAGTTATTTTTGAAGGAGAGATAAAAAAATTGGAGAGGAGGGATAAAGTGAAATAAAAGGTCATCTCTGTGGCAAGATGTAGAACATAAATCACACCTAGGTATTGGACTTGGCCCATTCTACATGCTCAGTTTAGGGAGATTTATTTCTTACCATTGCAGTGTTGTTGGCCTTTTGTGAGGTCTGGTTGTAAGCTGGAGGCAGTAGGGTTACCACCAGAACGTGTTCCATGTAATCCATTGAATCTGCCTCAGGAGAATACGTGTGACTATCAGAGAGAGGAATGGATAGAGTTTGAGAAAAAACAATATGGAGATCAACATCTTCCCCATCAATCTCCACCTTCACCACCCAACAGCATCACTTTGTTACCAGTAGTATGACAATACATAAACCCTTGAGGTGAATGACACAGCAGCCTGGTACGATAAGGCTGTAGGCTAATATCCATTGCCTGATTCTGGGCCAATGTTCTACTTCAACTATTTGATGGAAAAAGTGCTAATTGGACCAAGTGTTTTCTCACAATGTGGTAAACCATAGGTCCACAGTATGGTGTAAAAAGACACAGTGTAGTGAAAATGCCAGCTTCTGAGCATTGGCAGGAGGGTACAGGGGGACTTGTGATTATGGGACTGGCCCAGCAAATCCAAAAATTCAAGATGTGATTGGATTACATCCAGTCAACTGATGGTATTTATGCTGTACATGAACCTTCTCACACCTCTTCACCTGACCCTACAATAAGTTGGGAATATCGGTTCAACAAATTTGCTTATTTTGTGTTGGCATCGAAAAAGCCAATGACATACAGCAATACAGATGTTATTTTCGTAGAATCAAAGAAACTTACAATACAGAAGAAGACCATTCAGCCCTGTGCTGGTCCTTTGCAAGTGCAGTTTCCTTTTTTCTCATATACCCACATTTTGCTCACATCTTTGCAAATTCTTCATCCTCAAGTTTCTTTCTGTCACACATTTTTAATTATTTGTGGAATCTACTTCCACCATCATTTCAAGTTGAATGTTCCAAAGTTTAACAACTTTCTGAGTGAAAGCATTTATCCAAATATTCCCTCTCATTCTTTTGCAAATGATTTTAAATGAAGGATGTTGGTCATTGACACATTTGCAGAGGGGTTACGCAAAGCAAACCTCTCATCATATTGAAAACCTCTCCTAAGTTTACTTCTTCATCTTCTCTAGCCCCAATTACCCCCTAACCTTTTCACATATTTGATGAGGACAATGTACAGAGGGCTTTATTCTTTTGGAGTGATTATCCATAACACTAAAATGGCCCCTGCAGATGTGCAGATACAGCCACCAATGCTAACTGTCTATGGGTAATGCTGCTGAAATCACAAGGCCAGGATGCACTGTCCGTGCACTGCTTATTTCACCAGGCTGGGGCTGAGGGCACTGGGAATGCTGGGAGTGAGAGGCAGTGGGCGCTGGAGTCCTGACAAAGTCCTCCCTCTGGTGGTGTCTGTTTCCTTAGCTATCATCCTTTGCTACGCTTGCCCCATCACCGCCTTGACAGCCAGCTCTCTGCCTACTATCACTCTCCCTGCGTAGTGGTCCTTTCTGGAGCTGAGTGCCCGTGCCCAGGGAGCAGGCCTACTGTTGCATCTATTCCCCTGCACCTGCTGTCATACAAGACATGAAACACGTGCATGAAGATATAATTCCAATCAGAAACTACACTGCGCATATTCCAGTGACCACATTGCGCATTCTCCAGTCACAGAACTGCCGTGCATCATGTGGATAGGACACAGTTATAGGATTGTATATACTTCTATCACTTACAAATGATGCAGTTTTGACTTTGCACATGGTGGCATCTCCAGCCTTATTCTTTCTTGAACCATTGCTGCACAGGAGTGATTTTCAGCACAGATACAATGAGCCAAATGGCTTCCCTCTGCATCATAAACTTTCTATGTTTGTTTAGACATTTTAGAGGGCATTTTCTCTCTTTCTAACCAGAGCTTATACTTCACATTAGAATTATTTCTTTATTTTTCAACTTATACTGTGATGGTCTATAATGCCTAACTGTTTAATTTTCTTTCTTTATTTTACTACTTTGTACCTAAGTTTTTTGTACCTAGGTACCTTTTTACCTATGATGGTGCCATGTGTGGCAACTTTATACACTTTCCACTGTACTCCTGCACTTCAGTACTTAAGTACACTTGACAATAAAAATCTAAATCTAAATTCAATGGCAAAAGGCAAAAACTGCACAGTGCAGCATCTGCCTGGAACATGTAGATTTTGCTTTGTTAATGTTGACTTCTATGGCCAGTGAAAATAACTCTAAAGATATAGTACTTACTTGAACAGGTCTACCAGGATGATAATAATATCTTTGTCCATAGTAACTCCACTTAATAATGTCTCAATGTCACTATTTGTCCCACACAAAATGATCACTATGAGTAAAAATGGTTAGATTAATTGATTTTCTTCTTCTAGTTCTGTCCAAAATAACACAACAAAGAATGAGGCTTGAGCAGAAACAGCAATGTGAAAATGATTAGTTTTTTAAATGATATTGTTATAAGGACAAATATTATTTCAGCAAATTTCATGCTAATATTCACAATAGTGACATGGAATCTTTTACATTTACACAAGAGGATTGGTAGGGCCTCAGTTTATCTTCCTATCCAAATGACAGCAACTCTGACAGTGTGGTATAGCTGAGTGCTGCACTAGGGGATCAAATTGGATGGTTTGTTTGTTTCTGGGGTGTAATTTGAGCCCTAGCATTCTGACTCAGAGACAACACTGCTACTTGTTGAAATGTGGTTCAGACCCAAGTTTATCTGTGTCAGTTAGCAATGGGTGGCACAGAGGCTCAGTAGTTATCACTGCTGCCTCACAGTGCCAGGGATCCGGGTTTGATTCTACCCTGGGTGACTGTCTGTGTGGTGTTTACACATTCTCCCCACGTCTGCGTGAGCTTCCTCTAGGTGCTCCAGTTTCCTCCCACAGTCCAAAGATGTGCAAGTTGGAAGGATTGGCTATGCTGAATTGCCCACAGTGTCCAGGGATGTGCAGGCTAGGTGGCTTAGCTGTTGTTAATGTTAGATTTTGGGTAGGGGGGGTATTCTGGGTGGGATGCTCTTGTGTGGACTCAATGGCCTGACTGGCCTCTTTCCATGCTATAGGGATTCTATGGAATAGAAGGAGCCTGAGAGTCAAATCTAGTGCTACCCTCATAGCACATAGCTCCCAGTTGTAGGCATGAGCTGGAAAACGGGCACAATGACCCCAAAATTGCCCTTGCAATGATAAATAACCCCCCATCCCATATTTAATAGAACAAATACCCAGTTTTTATGCTGCAAGCATCCAAATTGGGCAGGGTCCCCAAAGAATCCTGCTCCCATAGAATCACAGAATGGTTACAATACATATTGAAGCCATTCAGCCTTCAAAACCATGCAAGCTCTCTACAAGAGCAGTTTAGTTGAACTCACTTTCTAAATCCTGACCCCAAAGGCTTGCTTTCATTTTCTATTCAGTATCTTATTGAAGGCTTTTTGAAAGCCCTAATTTCATTTACAGTTATGACCCTAGTTGATGTTCCTACAAGTCAGACTCCAGAATGAAATCTAGGCAAAGCATGCAAATCATATGTGTCCCTGAACTCTTAAGAAAATCACTGAAGGGACGAAGTGGTGTGAGAGTTAGACAAAAGCAAGGATAATGATGTGATGGACTGGTATACCAACGCTGAAGGGGGTGGGTGAAGGGTAAAAGGACCATAGAGTATGCAAGGACATTGTTAGAGTCATACAGTCAGAAAGGTCTACAGCACAATAAGGCCTTTTGGCCCCTCTGGGCCTGCACCTTTCGAAACAACTATGTAATCCTGTTTTCCAGTCTTTGGCCCATAATCTTGTATGCCTTGGTATTGCAAGTGTACATCTAAATCCTTCTTAAATTTCTGCAACTCCTACCCTTACAAGCAGTGACTTTCAGATTCCTAGCACACTATAGGTGAAAAAATATTTACGCTCATCCCTTCTACACCCCCTGCATCTTACTTTAAATCTATGCTCCTGGGTCATTGATCCCTATACCAAGGGGAAAGGTTTCTTCCTGTCTATCCCCCTCATAATTTTATACATCTCAATCATTCCTCCTCTCAGCCTTCTCTGCTCCAAAGAAAGCAACTCCAGTGTGTCCAATCTCTCTTCATAACTAAAACTCTCCAGCTCAGACAAATTCCTGGTAAATCTCCACTGCACCCTCTCCAGTGCAATCATATCCCTCATGTAATGTGAATTCCAGAACTGCAAACAATACTCCAACTGTGGCCTAACCAATTTTTTATATTGTCACAATGTAAACTTCACAACTTTAATAACTTCATGGATTGAAAGAATCAGCAAAATTTTTTTCTGGAATAAACTGTTTCGAGATGAAAAAGACATGCTGTTATAAAAGGGATTGAAAGCAACATGCAAATTAGCCATCCCTGAAAACGAACATAACCAATCTGTTTCCTGAGAGAAAGGAGCTAACAACTGCTTTGATGTCTGCTTGATAAATTGGATGTTTTATTGACAAAAAGGTCAAGGATTGTCCTGCAGAAGTATTTAAGGAGTTAATTGCAAGAAAAGCTGTGTTTTAAACAGACAGCAAATCCTGAATGTAACGAGGAACAAGGGAGCTACTTCTGATAAGAAGGCAAGCTTTAGATATGAGGTCTCCAGAAAGGATAATCAGTGTTGGAGATGGTAGAATATATTGAATCATCAATAATGTCACACCACAAACTCAAAAGTGAGAAATTTGGATATTAATCCATCACCAGAACAAGTCAGTCACAGAATTTCAAAGAATAACCCTACATAAGGATTGAACCCTGGACACTTCCTGAGACAGACCACCATTGGTGGAAACAAAAACCAAAAGAAGGGCAGATGCTGTAAATCAGGAACAAAAACAAAGTTGCTAGAAAAGCTCAGCCGGTCTGGCAACATCTGTGAAGGAGAAAACAGAGTTAACGTTTCTGGTGCGGTGACCCTTCCTCAGAACTCATTGGTGGAAATCTGACCAGATTATATCGGCCACGAGTTACCTTTAATTTAGCTACTTATTAAGAAATCTCACAGACAATCAAATACTGAAACAATGATTTAAACTTTACTGCATGTAGCTGAAATAACTCCACAGAGGCCGCTATGCCATCACCAAGTCACTCTTTATTTACACATGCATAGTACTTGACACTGGTCTGGCCTCCTTTGAGCCATCTCTCAGCATGAGCAGAATGCCTGACACTCCTGTTTATATCTGTCAGCCTGGGCTCCCTGATTGGACCACATTAACAGCCCCAATCAGGGAACTTATATTCTATGAGGTCTGAGATAACAAGGTGTAGAGCTGGATGAACACAGCAGGCCAAGCAGCATCAGAGGAACAGGAAGGCTAACGTTTCGGGCCTAGACCCTTCTTCAGAAAACTATGAGGTTTATCTGTTTGACCTTGTTACAATTGCTGCAGTGGCAACCAAAATAAGAGCCCACAAATAAGCAAGTTAAGCCTCACAACCCAACTTGGCTATTACCCAATTTTCCCATACAGGGATACATCCTTCGCAAATTCAATTTGTCATGACCCCTCAGGATACTATATGTTTAATCTAGTAACCTTAAAAGCTCCAGTGAGAACACAGAGTCGTCGAGATGTACAACAGGAAAACAGATCCTTTGGTCCGACTCGTCCATGCTGACCAGATATCCTAAACTAATTTAGTCCTGTTTGCCCCATATCCATCTAAACCCTTCCTTTTCATGAACCCATCCAGATGTCTTTTGAATTTTGTAACTGTACCCACCTCCACCACTTCCTCTGGCAGCTCATTCCATAAAATTACCACCCTCTGCATTAAAAAGTTACCCCTTAGGTCCCTTTTAAATCTTCCCCCCCCTCATCTTAAACCTATGTCCTCTTATTTGGACTCCTCTACCTTGGGGAAAAGACCTTGGCTATTCATCTTAACCATGCCCCTCATGATTTTATAAACCTCTAAAAGGTCACCTATCAGCCTCCGATGCTCCAGGGAAAATAGCCCCAGCCTATTCAACCTCTCCCTATTGCTCAAAACCTCCAATCCTGGCAACATCCTTGAAAATCTTTTCTGAATCTTTTAAACGACATTTTTCCTAGAGCAGGGAAACCAAAACTGAATGTAGTATTCCAAAGTTGACATAACCAATGCCCTGTACGGCTGCAACGTGGCCTCCCAAATCTATACTCAATGCTCTGACTAATAAAAGCAAGCGTACCAAATGCCTTCTTCACCACACTGCAATTCCACTTTCAAGTAACTATGAACCTGAACCCCAAGGTCTCTTTGTTTGGCAAGACTCCCCAGCACCTTGCCATTAACTGTGTAAGTCCTGCACTGATTTGCCTTACCAAGATACAGCAACTCACATTCACCTAGATTCATTTCACAATTTACTATCCTATCTAACTTTGTGCCATCAGCAAATTTAGCAATAATGCCAACAGTGCTACCATCCAAGTTATTCATGTAAATTGTAAAGGATTGAGACCCCAGCATTGTTAAATCTTGACAACTCAAAAATGACTACTCTCTGTTTCCTGTTAGCTAGCCAATCTTCTATCCTTGCCAGTGTGTTACCCCCTATGCAAAGGCTTTAACTTTCCATAATGACCTTTCAAGTGGCTTCTGGAAATCCAACTACAGCATATTCACCGGTTCTCCTGTTTGCTTAGCATATGCCACTTTCCTCCAAAAAAATTCAGTAGATTAGTTAAACTTGATTTCTATTTTACAAAACCATTTACTAAGTGCCCTGCCATAAAACAAGCAATAAAAGCTTCTAACATCTTCCCCACAACAGGTGTTAAGCTAAGTGGCCTGTAGCTTCCTGCTTTCTGTTTCCCGCCCTTTTTGAATAAAGAGTTACATTTGCTAATTTCCAACTGAATGGAATCTTCCCCAAAACTGGGGAATTTTGGAAAATTTAAATCAGCGCATCATCTACCTTGCTAGCCACTTTTTTTAAGACCCTGAGATGACATCTAGTTGTCCTCTTGTCTGATCTTGTTCCTATACTTGCTGAAATGATCCTTAAACATTTTTGAACAAGAAACCTCCAGTTCTACAGCTTCACTTTGTATCCAAGGAGGATTGGAAGATACAAAAACAGAAATTGCTGGAAAAGCCCAGTGGGTCTGACAGCAACTGTGGAGAGAAATTATGTTTTGGGTCCAGTGACGCTTCTTAGAAGGATTGGCAGATCATGGTCAGTAACTTACAGGATTTCCATCTACTCTCAACATTCATGATGCATCCATCTGGCCCTCGTGATTTATGAACTTTTAAGAAAAAAACATCATTTCTATACCCACTCCCTCATCAATTTTTAGCTTATCCAGCATC